GATTTTCTGGCTTTATTAGGCATCAAAACGCATCAAACCCTAATAGAAATTTGTTTCTAAATGCCTCAAGAACCATACTACGTAGTCAAAGTGCCGAAATATTGCACTTTGCATGCACAGTAGAATTAACATAGGCGGCTCATGTACGTATCGCAATGCTGACACAAAATAATTAATTACTCATTACCCGAACATTATTTGTGAACTTTTATGATCGAACCATGTAAATAATGCATGGGTGACCATTCTTTAATCATAAAAGTTCATAGACTGTGCTCAGAAAGTGAGTAATTAACGATTTTGCATACTCATTATCGTGTATATTCTTCGATACTTTACAGGTGTTCATCGTAGTTCAGCAGTTTGTTGTTAGATAGCGCTGTCAGCATCATTTGTGGCGGTTTTTTTAAAGATCTATATTACCGTTGAAGTATAGTCAGCTAATTACCCACAGAATCCGATCGGTACTTACACGTGTTCATCATAGTTCAACAGTTTGTTGATAGATGTCGCTGTTGACAGCAACTGTGGCGGTTTCTTTAAATGATTATTTCCTTTTTTCTTGATGTATTTATATGCGTATCATTTTCAATAATTCCTATACTGTATGGTGATCATCAGAGTCATCGATCAAGATGAGTTCTGTTATCAAAGTCGTCGATCAAGAAGTATTCTTTTTGTACTTGTGAACAAATGATTAATACTTAAGGCTATCGTCGTTTGATCACATTCAATTTTATTTTAAAAACAAAATCGTTCATACTTATGAAAATTGTATTGTTTACAGATTTCGAAAATACTTGTATAAATTAGGTATAGTATGTGCCAATGCACAGATGTTATCGTGGATCCTAGGGACCTGTTATTTCTGGCTGTCATTTTCCCTAAAGAAGCCAGTTGTATTTATGTATTTTATTTTGCTCATAAAAGAGGGCGCTTGAGAGGGACTTCTCTCATTTTGCCTAAACTTGGGAAGCCAGATTTACACCTGAATATACATACTCTTCTATTATTATATTATTACATTTGTTTGCTATTTATAAATTCTTGTTCATCATATGTGCAATTAATTAATTATGTATGAATCTAACGTATAAATCTGGTTTTATTACTAAAAATAGGAATATACAGGAAATAGATCTTATCCTATCTTATTTTTGACAGATGAATTTTCAAATTTAAAACCACTTAAATGTTTTAATTCAGAAATTTATAAAAAAAAAAACATTTAAAAAATTAGAAATTTGAAGATTCAGATTGATTGAAAATTAGAAAATTTGGAGACTTGTAGTTTGAAAATTTGAAAAATTCGATAATTTGAGAATATGAAAATTTAGAAATTATGTAATATGAGATTTGAAGAATTTCAAAAATATTCTGAACTGAATTCGAAAATATGAGAACTAGAAAGTTTAGAAATGTGTAAATTTGAAAATGTTTTGTACCATATATCTCATACCATTTGAAGATAAAATTGTTTATACTATTATTTAACATTTAATAGTTTATATGTATGCTTTCAAATAAATATAATAGTATAGCAAATGAGTGAACACTGGTTATTTCAAGAAAAAGCCTACAATAGTGTAAAATAAAAATGACATCACACTAAGTTATATTTTAATATCTAATTCTTTTAAACAATATTTCAAACAGTTATTGAAAATAACTACGTATAAGCGAAAGTACAATTTTTACTAGTTAATAATAAAATAAAATCTTTATATAATTAAAAATAATAAATAATAATTATTTAATAATTCATGAATTCTTATGAGTTGAAATATGAAGTGGTGATAGTTTTAAAACTATTGTAGAATTGACAAGATCGTATATCGTGTATGCACAAGTGTTTTATCTAACTCAAACAGATTCTCAAACGATTTAATCGTGTGCATTCTTCGGTTTAATAAGAGGCACGAGATATCTATCTCTAAAGACCCCGATTAACGAATAGAAAAAACCATTGTTAGTTTTATTTATTCAGTATTAGTGTTTGTACTGTGTACGTGAGAGAAGACGATGCTAAAATCGACGTAAAATCTGATAATGAAAGACATATCGAAAATGGAAAAAAAGGACGTCATATTTAAAAGTATATTGCATGTTTATCGTGATGTAAACGAATTGTGAAAATATTGAATTAGTATTGCCGACAAAGGTTCTGAAAGCGTTATATGTGTCGCGTTTAACCTGTATTCTGGTTTGAATTGATAAAGGTAAGCGAGATAACTAAATATTTATTGGATACACATTGTTTTTGTATTATAATTTATTTTTCATTTTTATTGTGTTTATTGCTTTCTTACGTTTTTGACGTATACTGTTTGAAATCACAACTTAATATCAAAAGAATGTTAATTTCAAAAATTTTTATAGAATTAAAGAGAATTTAATGTTTATTGCAGATTGTTGTATTAAGTGAAAGAAAATGAAGTTTGCTGAGCATTTGTCTGCCCACATTACGCCTGAATGGCGTAAACAATACATTAGCTATGAGGTAAAGTAATATTGTATTATAAATAGTCTGTCGATGTTTGTGTCAACGTAGCAGTAACTCACGTTAACATTTGAATACTCACGTGCAAAATATTGTTGCATATATTTATTTATGACAATGTTTACGAGTTGGTTCAATTCAATTTTATCCAAAACTGGTAATGAAATTCTGTGAAAGAACTGGAGACCTCATACATTCAAATATCTTATATGTTAAAGTGTTCAAATGTCAAAGCAAGTTAATGTATGTTCACAAAATAAAAACATGAAAAGATTTATGTATATTACAATAGTATGTTATAATTTAAATTATAATTATAATGATTGAATAAATAAGGACTTCATGATTATGGAATATTTTTAGCGTATTTATATATTTTACATATATTTTGCATTTGTAGTTATATCTTTATTCTTTGCGATTAACAGGAAATGAAGGCAATGTTGTATACTGCTGTAGAAGAAGCACCTTCAGTCGAAAGTGTTGAACCAGAAGTGATATCTCGTCACTTTGCTTCATTCGATGAAGTGTTTTTTACATTTTGTGATCGTGAATTGAAAAAGATTAACACTTTCTATTCTGGTAAGAAAGCATTGTCAAACTTATGTATATAAATTATTTGGCTCCCTATCAGCAAACTGTAGCAATCACAGTAAATATGATTATTAATTACTATTATTATATATATGTTTTATATAGAAAAGTTAGCAGAAGCAACACGTAAATATGCAGCTCTTCAAAGTGAATTGAAAATTGCATTAGAATTGCAACAAGGTGGAGGAAAAAATAAAGGGAAAGCAACTGTTAAACCCCACTTGCCAACAAGGAAATTGAGGGAATTGAAGTTAGCATTTTCAGAATTTTATTTATCCCTAATCCTTCTTCAAAATTATCAGAATCTTAACTACACTGGTTTTCGAAAAATTCTTAAGAAGCACGACAAGGTAAATAATAATGAAATCATGTTCATTAACCGTCGCATAAATCCATGCTTAATATTTCGTATTTCTCTAGGTTTTCAGGTTCATTTAAACAATAATGAAAAATTAAGGAAAGATCTAACACTTATAATTTAAAGTTCCTTATCCTATCATGCACAAGTAAAAGATCTAGCACTGCTCTTGAGTGTAGTAATTTGTATCTCCTATAATACAAGTTTCAATATTATTTTTGTTCTTAATTTCAGTTATTGTCAGTAGACAGCGGCTCAAAATGGAGGGTAGAATGTGTAGAAACAGCGCATTTTTATACATCCAAAGATATAGACAAGCTTATACAGGAGACGGAAGCTACAGTAACAAACGATTTAGAAGGTGGAGACAGACAGCGTGCTATGAAACGTTTAAGAGTACCACCTTTAGGAGAGCATCAAAGTCCATGGACAACTTTTAAAGTTGGCTTATTTTCTGGTAGTTTTATTGTCCTATTTGTGACAGTTATACTTTCAGGTAAGAGTACTCATTTATGAAATAGAATACAATTAATCTATGACATCAAACTTTATTAATTTCGTTTTCAGCAATATTCCACGATGGCGGAGAAAACTTAAAAATTGCATTTAGATTATATCGTGGACCTTTACTAATTATACAATTTTTATTTCTCATTGGAGTGAATGTTTATGGGTGGCGATCATCGGGTGTAAATCATGTGTTAATATTTGAATTAGATCCACGCAATCATCTTTCCGAACAACATCTTATGGAATTAGCCGCTGTTCTCGGAGTTATATGGACTCTCAGTTTATTGAGCTTTTTGTACAGCGCTAGTTTAAGCATTCCACCATTTGTAAACCCATTAGTTTTAGTTTGTATTATGTTGGCATTTCTACTGAATCCATTAAAAATGTTCCGACACGAGGCAAGGTTTTGGTTATTAAAAGTTATTGTAAGTATAACAAAATACAAAGGTTATTAAATAAAGAATAAGTTACTGATTGATATTTTCTCCAGGGACGTATTTTAATATCACCATTCGCATACGTGAATTTTGCTGATTTCTGGTTAGCGGACCAGTTGAATAGTATGGCTACAGCATTGCTAGATTTTCATTTCTTGACATGTTTTTACATTACTAATGGAAATTGGTTGGAAGCGAACAACACTACGCAATGCATGTCTGGCTCTTTGATCATTAGACCTATCGTTAACTGTCTACCAGCATGGTTTCGTTTTGCTCAATGTATTCGGCGTTATCGAGACTCTAAGGAAGCATTTCCGCACTTAGCCAATGCTGGAAAATATTCAACAACATTCCTCGTCGTGATATCCAATACCATGTGTGCCTATCGTACTAGTAGGTTCATAAATAAATTTTTGATAAAGTTGTTTGAAGAAAATATATTTATACACAGTATATTCATTTCAGTGGAGTATCAGACTCGTTGGGAGAATCCATGGTTGTGGTTTTGGATGATTAGTTGTTTCGTCAATTCGGTTTATTCCTTAACTTGGGATTTGAAGATGGATTGGGGTCTTTTAGATAGTAATGCTGGTGAAAATAAATTTTTACGCGAAGAAGTTGTGTATTCAGCAGCGGTATGCAAATTCTTATATATCTTTTGTTCTTCTTTTTCCAGCATTTATTGCAACTGATTTTTTTCTTCTAGGGATTCTATTATTTCGCTATAATCGAAGATTTTATTTTAAGATTTGCGTGGGTTGCTAGTTTTGTTCTTATTGAATGTGGTTACGTATCCAGTGACTTAATGACATCCATAGTTGCCCCGCTTGAAGTTTTTAGGTAATTCCGCAATTATTTTGCTACTTAATTTAATTCCATTTTATTCACTAATAACTAATCAATGTGTTCAATTTAAGGCGATTTGTTTGGAATTTTTTCCGATTAGAAAACGAACATTTGAACAATTGTGGTAAATTTCGTGCAGTTCGTGATATATCAATAGCACCGATAGAAAGTTCCGATCAGACACAAATTTTGCGTATGATGGACGAAGAAAATGGTGTACTTAATAGAGGCAAACGTAAAATGGGCGGTAAACGACAAACTAACACTAAGGAAGACAAACGAGCTTTGCTGAAAGAAGAAACAATCGATATAGATATATCCAATGCTAGTTGAAATCAATTAATAAGATTCATCGCAAAAAACAGTTTGGAGAAATATTGCTGCATATACATTTTGTAAAACTTTGTAACTGGTTACAATGAAGATGCATCGAAGTTTAGGTTTTTAAATTTGTCAAAATTGAAGACTGTAAATTTAAGATTGTTACGAGTGCCTTGTATAATGTTCTTAACCCTTTAGTTGTGGCACGATATTTATTTAATTGTCAAAATGCACTATTGAAAAAAGTAATAATTTATTTTCATTGAATAAAAAAACATAGAATATTTTGTTATTTTATAAAATAAATAGAATATTGTATTTCTTTAAAATGCTATGTCAAATTAAATACATGATAATAACTGAGATTTTCTAAGCTAGCTAACATATAGACCTTTTGCAGCTAAGGGGTTAAAAGAACCGTGTTAGATTATGAGTTTAATAATTTAATGCTATAATAATTAAGGTACGGTGTCTTCCATTTAAAGTATTCTGGCACTTAACACATGACTTGTTGCTAATGCTGTAGTTATATAACATACCTTTAAGAAATATATTAAATTAGATTTTGAACGGTTTTTACATTATTTTTATAATTAGCATTATATTCACAAACATTTTCAAAGGGAAATAGTATTATAGTCTTCAATTTTGAATAGTAAATGCATAACTTGAAGAGCAAAAATGTGTTATGTGGTATAGAACATTGTATATAGTTGTAAATTGTTGTAGAAATGGGGATTCGATACATGTACATTCTCTGCGGGTAATATAACTAGTGATAACATAGTTTAATATTTTTAATCTTATATAAAGAAAAATGTTCATAACCATATATTTTCAAGTATTGCTCTAAACGACATGTACTTTGTATTTCCCATTATGTGTAACTATATTATGTACTTCAAAGTAGGTAATCTAACTTGAATATTTCCAAACAGTAATACCTTCAGTTACAATTTGTTGCTTTGAATATAACAAGTATTGTTCTATCCTAAAACATTTGGTGTAATTCTACTATTTTAAGACTCAACACTATATTTTTTTGTGAAATGTAGTTACAAAGTAATAATGAAAATTATAGCAAATACAAAACAGTGTTTACATAGTAGTGTCATGCTTAAAAACAGTTACTGAAGATAAACTAGGCTTTGTATTTAAATTTGATACAGAGTACTTAACGCCGCATTGTAGTATTTTTATAGTGTATTTATAAACAAAAGTAGACAATGAACAAGTAAACGAACTGAAATGCTTGGAGGAATATTCTGTCAATATCAGTAATAATAGTAACGACAACAATATAAAACAGTATAAAATTTTGTTTTGTATTTGACATTAAAAGTATAAACAAATAAATCGTTTATACATTGTGAATGAAAAATAATATTTATAATTTGCAGAAGAAACAGTGTAAAATCAGTACTTTAATTTTTTTCAGTACGTTATTAATTTACTTAATGGTTTACAGAAATGTTTATTATGACATTAATATATTAATGCATCAAATGTTGAATTCCAATAATTGTGATAGTTTTACACGAGTTTTTATATACTTTGTTATAGAAATAGTAGTAGTTGTTATCATGAACAGAATTATTATTGAAAAATGTTCAATATTTTTATATTTTGTATATAATGTATATACGAATTATATGTATAACATCCTTGAGGTATACTATAGGCGATTATATATAATTATAAGTAGTTTCAATAAATTCAGTACGTACATATATGTATTATACTTCAATATACTTATATTTAGTTAATAAAATGTTAAGTATTGAAGTGAGTACATCGTATCTTGTGTAACTATTTGTTAATAAAAATTATACCCAGATAACAGGTCTCATTATAAATATTTATTTATTTGTATTAATACATGTTACACATAATATGTACACAATAAAATCAGTGTCGAATCAATTTTTTTTAAATTATGGCTATACAATGGAATGGCGAGATAAAATTAGCATCGTTTATAGTACTTTACAGGCCATTTGATAAAAGAAAGAAATAATTTTTACTGTAAGATATAAGCTACAATTTTTTAAAGAAATTTTTATAATACTTATGAGTATTTTCATTCATATGAATCTTAAATTGGATTGTCCCGATTTCAATTAAGTATAATATATACATATTAGTGTTGAAGAAAATAATATTTCTTAATTAGATATTATTATTAATTTGTAAGTAATATAACTGACTTGAAAATGCGACTGTTGATTTTCTACATATTTTACAAATTTAGCAAAAATATAAACATAAACTCTTGTAACTAACAATATTCCTAAAAATTTACTGTATGAAAGAATTATATACTAAAAGAATAAGTAGCAGCTTTGGCAATTTAAAAGATTATGAATATTCTCTCAACTATTAAGTAGTGAGTTACGATATTAATTTTCCTTTCTTATTTTTTAACATGAAGCTGTTAAATTTTAGTTCAGTAAGAATGGACCTATATTATGTAAAGTCGAGTATTAAAATTATAATTTCCCTTTGGAACTTTTACATAACAAATATACATATAAAATTATTAACCCTTCATAGCCTGAATCTTTTTCTGCGGGTATACTTTCTGCATTTGTTAAGATACATAGCAATTGCTATAAAATACTATAACAAATAAATAAATTGACTAATCTTTAAAACATTATTTATAGTACATAGTCACTCTTTTAAAATTAGCAATACATGTACCTATTTTGCTTTTGATATAGATCATGTTTTAATAAGAATCAGTAGTTCATTAATATCTATAATGATCTCTCAGTATATACCAAAGAATACTCATAATAAAGTAACACGCATACATTCAACATGCAAGGTGATATGCTTCAATGGCTTTGAAGAATAACAAAACAAAAGTGAAGTTCAACGAATACTGGAAGCATCGACAATTAAACAACTAAATAACTTTCCTTTTCGATTTAAAGCCATACGCAAAATTCTGTACATTGAGTAGTAACATATACATTAAAAAATAGTTTCATCATTGTGCATTTAGCTGGTTTTCGGGGTGACAATATCACTATCATGACTACTAGAAGCTTTTGACTTTCTTTCAGGATCCATGGCAATCGAGATGAACTCTTCTGAGATTTTTTTATCTAATCCTGTGTATGTTTGAGCTAGATCTACTTGGTCTTCTCCTATCGAGGACATTCTCTTTGGATGTTCTGCCTTCCCTTCAGTGGTTTGTTTCTTTCTCTCCATAGTGTCTTCATGTTCCACACTTGGATGACGTCTCTGCTTTGGTCGAATCTACAATTAAATATTATCACATTTCATTGTACAACATAACCAGTCTATAAATGATTTAAATATCAGTTTAAATTAAATGCTTCGTATAATAGTAAATGTCATGCTACAGTTTACTTATAGAAAGAGATTTAACATGATAAACATAGTAAAGTTTTTCAAATGCTGTATAATGATAGAGATTAACCACTCAGAAAGGTAATACTGTATGTCTCAGGATTAATCTTATGGTTACATAGGATGGTGGGTAAGAAACTTACCATTTGCGATGGAGGACGTCCACCATATGTCATGTGTGGAAGCATAGGAACAGCACCATAAGGGGAAGCAGCTATTGGCATAGGTCCAGCAGGCATGAATCCTCCAGGAAACTTAGCAGGAGCGCCAGGCATTCCATAAGGGGGCTACAACAAGCAAGCACGTATTGTGTTTATAAAGAAACTATTCCCTGACAAGAGACAAATTCTAAAAACTTCTCTATTTTGGTACATTAACGTTTAACCAGTTACTATGTGTTTTGTGATGAGCAAAATGGCACCATATGGTAAAATTAACCGTTATTGGTCTGAAAAGGCCATTTGGCATTTCAAGTTTTTTTTTATGAACCATCGTGAGAGTTGCAATAAAATGTCTGTATTAGTCAGGTTTTTCGTGCTTAGCAGACCTGTTCTTCCTTTTCTATTATCTCATTATCTTATTATGAGTCATGAGTTGAATTCATAAATCATGTTTTTAGAAATGCATGCTGGTTAAAGGAAAATATACACATACACTACAGCTCGACTATTTGCTCATGTATTGAATGACATGTTTATTTTCGTTAATTAATATACTGACTGCTATCATGTGATTAATGTTTTGGATGTAATGTAATAAAATAATTGACAAAAGAAAACACAAGATTAATTCTGAATGGTGTTACTGTTACTAATGATATAAGATGTCATTTGAAACTTAATACACTGGAACAGTTAAGTAGTTAAATAATAAAATGCTTATGTAAGAACAATACTAGTCTACTTAAAAGAATATATACACAGACAGACATTTTACAGTTAAATAGAACATTAAGATTCTAATAAACCATAATCACATGATTTATTGTATTCAAATATCCTAAGGAAGAGAACTTATCTAGTGCATCAATATTCTTTCCACAGATCTGCATTGTGAGAACTAACATAAATCTGGAAAAATTGACAGAATATCAGCAAATTAGTTTGAAGTATTACACATTTTTTTAGCAGACAAAGATTATCTAGTGATCAAATGAATAAAAACAATAGCTGTTTCATTTAAAAACTGTTTCATATATATTAAATCAAACTGAATTAATGACACAACTTGCATCATAAATACAACTTATATGTTCATAACCATTATATACATATTATTTCAAATTAAGTTAATTTTAGCGTAACCTGAATTAAAAGTGTATTTTGTATGTTCTGATCTATTATAAGATATAAAAATGCAACTGGTACCTTCTGAACTATTACCCAGATAAAAAATACAGTTTGTATGTTCTGATATTTTAAACACAATTGAAATAACTTGTTAAAATATAACTTCAACATACAGTTTGTATGTTCTGGTATTTTAAATATAATGGAAATGACTTGTCATAACTTTAACATACAGTTTATATGTTTTGATATTTTAAACACAATTGAAATAACTTGTCAAAACACAACTTGAATTTGATAAGTACTACAGACCCATCAATCAGCAAAGAATTAAGAGGGAGTCTGCTGTGTACACTGGCCCAACGAAGCTTATCCTCCTGACCCAGAAACACCTGCACACCTGAGCTCGTGCATCTCCGAAATGTAGGCACAGAAATCGCCTGGAGCAGTCATTCGACGAGTTTCTCTCGATGCCCGCCGTCTGAACTTTCTAGCTCGCGTGTCACTGACCTATCCCTACCTCTTGTTGCCAGAGGTCGAGCGTGAGCAACGAAGAAAGGGTTGTAGGAGAGGATTCTCACCTGGATCATCGGGTGCATGGGTAGCATCGGCTGCACCACATAAATCGGTTGACTCTTAGGCACGTGATTTTGGGCCGTGACCCACTGATGCACCATGTTGCGGGTTTTTAGTCGACCGTCAACGTTTCCATCGTCGCCGTTGCTGGTCCTAAGACATCCGCATAATTTGGGGGTTAAGGTTAGGCAGCTGTAGCCGGAGACCAACAGTTCAGCCACGCTGGTGACCAGTAGTCCTATACTGGCGAGCAGACCACCCCAGTCACTCTCTACGTCTAGGTTGCCCTCTTCACCCTGTAATAATGGTTTAGTTAGGTTAAGTATTATTCATTTGTACTATTTTACTATTCTATTAATTTACTATTTTTTTATTATATTATTATACTAGGGTACTATTTTGCATTATTTTGTTATTCCACTCTTTTACTGTATTATTGTTCTAGTATTTTACTTTATTACTGCAACGCTATTACACTATTTTATTATTATATATATTGTAGTATATATAATAATATAATATTATATATTATATATATTATTATTACTACTGTTCCATTATTTTACTGTCACTAATCTACTATTATATTATTTTACTACTTCAGTATTGTACTATTTCACAACGCTACTATACAATTTTACAATTATGGTACTTTACTATTGTTCTGATATTCCACTATTTTACTATACTGCTATTCTACTATATTATTGTTCTTGTATACTATATTGCTATACTATACTTTTCTTCTTTACTAAGAACCTATCACAGCTGTTACAACAAAAGTAAAATTGCTACATCTTCCATTCGCATGAAATATTAAATACCTAAAACAATGATGGCTCAATGATCATAGCAGTCGAGGCCCATATAAAATCAATCAATCAATCAATCTAAAACAATGAATAATACCAAATGTAAGTAGTTTTATTTTTGCTCTAGATTTATCAGAGAAAGTTTTATTATAACATTGAAGATACTTAAACACTAATATTCCTACTTACTACTTGATTCTCAAGCAGTTTATACTCTAGTTACTGGGATAGTTTATAACAGCTCTAATTATGATTATAATGTCATTAAAGTCTGAGCACACTACGAGTTTTTATGATACCATAAACGTAACAGTATCGCAAAGGATCATCGACCGAAGAGGCACATTCCATTAGAGTTCAGAAGCAAGGTAATGTGTGAAATTTCCTTGAAAGAAATGCGCCCTGACCGCGTTTTGGCATCGGGACTTTCTCTGCTGGTTAAACGGTTTTATCGGCCCTCTTTTGGCCAGTCCACATCGATGCGACCAGCAGACGGGAACAGCCCGAAAAAACGAAACGGGGCCAACATTGTCACCGACTAATTGGAGTATGTACCGATTAACGATTTCCAGTATCATGGGAACTATCGGTGAATAACGTTACCAATTTGAAACAAAATGAAGAGAGAATGCAAGCATATACAGGGTGGCCCGATTAAACCAGTCCTCATGAATATTTATAACATTGTTGGTGATATGGAAAGGTATTTTATATGAAAGCTGAACAGTTTGGAAAGGTACCACAGCGATGGTAGGGTTATTTAAAGAAAATGATGATGTGGGGGAAGAGAATATATTACTCCTTGATTTCTGATTAATAAATCTACAAATATTACAATTTAAAAAATGTTTAAATTCATAAATTCTACGAATATCATAATTCAGTAAAAGAGAGATTCCACCAAAAATAAGATCGCGCATCCGCTTCCTCAACAAGTATAATAAATTCCACTCAACGATTTCTAAATACCGCAATTCCGACAGTTAATATTAACGACACGCGCTAAAATTTCGCAACGTAAAAGGCGCGAAATGAAAGAAAAAGAAAGTGATAGCAATACGAATGCATCGAGATCCGAATATCGATAAGCGAAGAAGAAAAACAAGTGGGTGAAAGTGCGGAACAATACGTACCGGAACAGTGAGCAAGGTCACTTCCGGTGTCCTCTGGGAGTCCCTAACGATGGCGGTCAAGGCTGTGATCGTGGCCATATTCGAAAGGGCAAGGGCGATCAGACTGGCCGCAAGGTGAGCCGTTGAAAAGCTGGAATTCCTTTTGCTGGAGGACGTCGCGAGCGTCGCGACGACACCCAATGCCCCGGCGACAAGGGCGCCCATTCCTGCCCACAGTCCAGCGCCGGTGCCCCCCAATGCTGCTCCGTGAACCAGTACCAGTATACCGAATACTATCAGTACTATACCTGTGAAACATTAGTTACTATGTTATAATTTCTAATAATAAATACAAGGGTATACAGGATGTATATAGGGTGTTACCTGTAACGTTACTCACGATTTTTTTCCCACTTGCAGCCACCTTACGAAAAAAAGTTTAGAACAATATTTGCAGGGTATGAAGTGGACAATAGATATTAGTAAAGCAAATTTTGAAAACAGTTTGTTCTT